TTGCCACGCATGTGTAATCTCTAAACGATAGATTACCATGCGTAGTAATTTGACCCACAGTAAGTTGCACGTAATCTCCAGGCATAGTAATCTGCACGTTTTAATCACCACGCATAATCGCTAGACGATAGATTAGTACGTGTAATAATTTCCACGAGCAGTAATCACCACGCATAATAATCGCCACACGATAGATTACTACGTGTAATAATTTCCACGAGTAGTAATCACCGCGCGTTATCTCGCGACGTGCGGTATTTCACGTGATATCCATGCATTAAAGAACATTTTGGCAGCAAGCAATAAGAGGGCGAATACAGTCGATTTTATGAAAAAATAATACTTCTTAAAGGAACTGCGGGAAGAGAAAATGACGAAGGAAGTTTCGCCCAAAGGGGTGGAGCTCCTTCGATCCTAAATACATATTTTCTTTAAAAATTCAATTTATCCCGCCTTAGAAAGGAATATTAAATCGGATAAGGGAGACTCCGGGGGAAAATGAAAAGTCGACGAATCAAAAGTGAAAGTACGTATCGGGGCGAGAATTAGAATGCAAGCCGGGACAAAAATGGGACAAGGCTTTAGGGCGCGGGTCGGGTATGTCCTCCACAGACATGTATATAGGATATAGAAAGACCGCGAGACTTTCTCGCCCTCTCGAACAGACAAAGGCATTGAAAAAGAGATAGAAGGAGAGGAGAGGAAAGGTAAATGCATTGACTCGCTGATGGTTTCCTTATTGCTTTTAGCGCGGGAGCTTGCTGCGAAAGACCATAAAGATCGAAACGATCCTTCGCGGTGTGAATAGGAAGAAATTATCTTGTAACGTTTCCATCAAATCATATCGGGACTATTTGCAGCTTTTTTTATTATCCTGCGGGAGCGTAAAGTTTAAGATATTACATTTTCATCGAATCGCGAAATTACGATTCTTCACAGTACGAATATTTTATTTTTAGGTTAGGTCGTTACGTATCGAAAGACCGGCTTTGAAACGCAGGAAGTATGACACAGTTTCGAGACATAAAAGAATTATGAACTGTTAACGTAGTAATTTAGAGGTGCAAATTAAAATGCATAAGAAAATTCTTTCGACAATGATTTTATTATAAAATGGCCAGTGACAAAGCCTATAAAATGGCCGATTTCAAAGCCTAGTGTATCATGATTTTATGAGCATAATAGCATTCCAAACTGTCAGTTATGATATATGGAAATTTAATGAGTGACAACATAAATCATCGATATTTTAACAATGACCAATTTCGAAAGATACGAAGTTAATTTCGTGACATAAAAGCATTCCTAAATAACATTTACCGTATATTCATATAAAAACAACTATGAAAACGTTCCATGTTTTCAGTACAAAATGGAACAAAAAGTCAACCATCCTCCATTAACGAATTTCAATCGCTTCCAAAACTAATTGTGGACTTTACGAAATATTCGAAAATTAATGATCTTAAGAGAAAAATTTGCAAATTTGCCCGTTCACTCGATTTCAGAATTTCGTAACTCAGCCTGTAAGCTCCGGTTACTCAGCTCCTGACCCGAATTCCCTATTCTCAGGACTAATTCGTACGGTTCCCATTAGTCACGGTCGTGGCAAACCATTTTGCAAATCGCCATTGTTTCCACTGTCGTTCCTGACGTTTATTACTCGAGAATGGTCCCCTCCGAACTCGTATCGAAGTTTACAAGCGTTTTACGGACGGAGATCTTTATGGTGGACAATCGACGATGCCATTGAAAAGGATCGATAACCATAAGTCGACGATCGACCCGTTAATAAAGTAACGCTAAACGTCGCTTCCAGCCAGGGAACAGCAAGCGTTCGGCCAGAGTTTGGGTTCGTCTTTGTCGTCGAGGCAATCGATAGAGCTTAATTGACTCGAACATGAGAGAGAGAATTCGTACGTTCGACGTTACATCGACTTCATTGCCGATTGAACCAGGTCACGGTTTCGGTGGTAACCGAAATTTTCGAGCTCCGACCGAGGAACGTTAACAGAGAAACTCGATCCAACTGTTCTAATCTCGACTCGACGCTTTTGTGCAAAAATCAAACGATAAAAAAGATACTTTCGCGAACTACTTCAAAAATCTCAGCAGCCACGATTTTTATCAGTTTGCAAACATTCTTTGATTTACTGTTTCGATCTGCGCATCTTTTCTTAAATACGTACATTAGAGCACCATGTACTAAATCAGCGCGTATTAAATAATTAAATAAGCAAGTGTTAGACAGCCACGTGCGTTAGAGCACCACACATTGTATCTATAAATTGCAGTTCTAACCAAACGTAATTTTCACGCGCTAGAGACAAACTCCACACTGAAAGAATAATAATACAGTTCCTAGTCCAGAGTACTGTTTAAAAGAAAGAAACTCGATCCAACTGTTCTAATCTCGACTCGACGCTTTTGTGCAAAAATCAAACGATAAAAAAGATACTTTCGCGAACTACTTCAAAAATCTCAGCAGCCACGATTTTTATCAGTTTGCAAACATTCTTTGATTTACTATTTCGATCTGCGCATCTTTTCTTAAATACGTACATTAGAGCACCATGTACTAAATCAGCGCGTATTAAATAATTAAATAAGCAAGTGTTAGACAGCCACGTGCGTTAGAGCACCACACATTGTATCTATAAATTGCAGTTCTAACCAAACGTAATTTTCACGCGCTAGAGACAAACTCCACACTGAAAGAATAATAATACGGTTCCTAGTCCAGAGTATTGTTTAAAAGAAAAACAGCTCGTTATCGAACGAGTATGCTTAAAAGCTCTGAGTACCGTTAAAAATTGCGCAACAACGGAAGCGTGATAAACGAGAGAAACAGAGAGGTAATAGAAGAAAAGTGTTACGCAAAGCAGAGATAGACAATTGGCTGCACAATGGGCCGGATAAAGGGGTTACCGTGACAAGTGTTCCGCGATTTAAATCATCGAATATGCAGCGCTCCATTATACACGCTCAAAGTGACGAATTAAACCTCCAATTACGGCATCGATTAATGACCGCCGCTGTGGTTCGAACAACAAGGAAATTTTTCAAACTGGACGGCACATAGCAAATGATTCTTTCTCTGGAAAAACGTAACCAGTTATCCCTCTGGAACGAATCGAGATAATTCCTGACAATTAATCGTTCCGTTTACAACAACAACAACGGCGAAAAACTTTGAAGGAGAAAATTAAACAGGGAACGAATTGGGTTGCCTTTTGTATTACCGATGCATTCATTCTTTGTCCCAGAATGAAAAGTATTTGAAAAAGTATCGTAGCGTGAGGCGAACAATGCGGCCTAAGTATCTTGAATATTTTAATCGAATCCAGTGATTCGTTCGGTAATTCGTTTACAATCAGACGATGAAACTTCGCGATATCAAAGTTTCAACGTTACTTTTAATCCAATTTAATTGTATAGAGAAAAGTTCGTTCTTTTCCTGTAAAACACGAACACACAATTCGAACAGTTCCTAGTCCAGAGTACTGTTTAAAAGAAAGAAACTCGATCCAACTGTTCTAATCTCGACTCGACGCTTTTGTGCAAAAATCAAACGATAAAAAAGATACTTTCGCGAACTACTTCAAAAATCTCAGCAGCCACGATTTTTATCAGTTTGCAAACATTCTTTGATTTACTGTTTCGATCTGCGCATCTTTTCTTAAATACGTACATTAGAGCACCATGTACTAAATCAGCGCGTATTAAATAATTAAATAAGCAAGTGTTAGACAGCCACGTGCGTTAGAGCACCACACATTGTATCTATAAATTGCAGTTCTAACCAAACGTAATTTTCACGCGCTAGAGACAAACTCCACACTGAAAGAATAATAATACGGTTCCTAGTCCAGAGTATTGTTTAAAAGAAAAACAGCTCGTTATCGAACGAGTATGCTTAAAAGCTCTGAGTACCGTTAAAAATTGCGCAACAACGGAAGCGTGATAAACGAGAGAAACAGAGAGGTAATAGAAGAAAAGTGTTACGCAAAGCAGAGATAGACAATTGGCTGCACAATGGGCCGGATAAAGGGGTTACCGTGACAAGTGTTCCGCGATTTAAATCATCGAATATGCAGCGCTCCATTATACACGCTCAAAGTGACGAATTAAACCTCCAATTACGGCATCGATTAATGACCGCCGCTGTGGTTCGAACAACAAGGAAATTTTTCAAACTGGACGGCACATAGCAAATGATTCTTTCTCTGGAAAAACGTAACCAGTTATCCCTCTGGAACGAATCGAGATAATTCCTGACAATTAATCGTTCCGTTTACAACAACAACAACGGCGAAAAACTTTGAAGGAGAAAATTAAACAGGGAACGAATTGGGTTGCCTTTTGTATTACCGATGCATTCATTCTTTGTCCCAGAATGAAAAGTATTTGAAAAAGTATCGTAGCGTGAGGCGAACAATGCGGCCTAAGTATCTTGAATATTTTAATCGAATCCAGTGATTCGTTCGGTAATTCGTTTACAATCAGACGATGAAACTTCGCGATATCAAAGTTTCAACGTTACTTTTAATCCAATTTAATTGTATAGAGAAAAGTTCGTTCTTTTCCTGTAAAACACGAACACACAATTCGAACGTTTACCACGAAGCAAGTTCTCGAAAGAAAAAGTTGCCGAACAGTTACGGAGATGTTCGTAATGTTTTCCGCGGTCACGAGATAACAGGGCCGCTAATAAATTATGCAATCATTCGCGCCATTATTCGCAGCGAGAATAGGACATTACGCCATATTTCCCGCTCGTGGAAGCTGCTTCGAAGACAAGTACATCGAGGATATCGCGAAGCTGTCCGAACAACGCGGAATTTGAAATCGAACCAGTAATTCAGCGCGCTGTATTTTCTCCGCTTCCACATTTTATTCGAGGAATCAAAATTAATAAACGTCCCCGTTAGATTCACCCCGTTTACTCTTCCCTGGGTAAAAATCGAACGCGAAACAATGTTATCGAGGATAATACTCACAGTCAATCCAACGTCACACCCCCAATAGTTGTCCAGTCTTCCTCTATTCGAGCCTCGACCGTCGAGTGTCCGCCGCTCGTCACATTTTTGGTCGTCTGTTTCCGGTAATCGGGCCTTCGATCAATTCCAGTCAATTTCCAGGGCTGGTCGGCCCAGTAGAGATCATCAATTCTTATCGAGGATTATATCACCTGCAAAAGAGGCGTCAACGTCAGAAACTTTTTACCTGGCTGGACGGATTTGTCGAGATTAAGCTTTTTTTCGTGCTTTTGTGCAGCTCGAATTTTAATGCTTGTCAAGGTAAATGATAAAGTAGTTGTTGCATATCAACTACTGAGCATGTCACAACGTTGGAACAGCTGAGTTTGAAATATAGTTTGACGTGATTTCGTGGCATAAAAGCGTCGTTTAGTCGAGATAGAAATTTTCTGGCCTCTTTTACGATCATAAAGAATACGACACGTTTAGGTAACGACTTCCAACTTGGAGTTATAAATTGAGGAGGAAGTTTGCCTGGCACGTAATGGGCGAATTAGTATACACGCGATATAAGCAACAATTAGAGACGCTCCTCGAGACGCGTATGGAGGAGATCCAGACGAGCGAACTTATTACCCGATCTAATATTTCCCTTGGAAATAGCAGCTCGCGCTTATAATCGTCATCGCGCGTTCGTCGAGTTCCTTCGCCTACGAAAAGTCGTTTCCAGCCTGTTAATCCGCCTGTTATCGAGGGATTGTCGCAGAAAGCGGCTCGAGCAGGTCCCATTCAATGCAAGAAGGCAAACGGTTAACGTTTCGTCGCGCGAAATCTCTCGCGACGAATACGAGAGAGTTTAAATGTATATCGTGGAAGGGTCTGTAAGGGTGACATCGTTTCGCGTAATAGCTTTATCATGTCGCTGCCAGCGTTCCTCCTGCAGTCTGGCATTCTGGCGCCAATGAAAACGTTACATTTACTGCCGTGAATGTTAATCCAACGAAGGGACCATCTCTCCAGAGAGCGAGGCTAGCAAGTTAAATTAATTGAAAGTTTTTTTTAACCCTGGTTTACGTTGCTCGATTTCCAGAGCATCGATCGATACAATACTCGAATCGCTCCCGTGGCGAACTTCGAATCCGCCGACCCCAACTGCATACGGAAACGGGATCAAGTTCAATATGTGTTCAGAAATTCTAACCGATGTCAGAATAGAACTTTTGTGGAACTTCGCTGCTGCTCGTATTTGCCTCTGAAAACAACGGAGAAATCTAGAGGGAACCTAAGGTGAACCTAAACTGACCCGTGCTTCTCCCGATATTTCTAACAATCTCCTCGAACTCATCTCCTCCGGATTCAAATATTTCTGCAGCCTTTAATTTCGCGTTTGAAAATGTCCAGTCAGGTTCGAAACGAGTTCCACTCGAATCCCGTCAGTGCATCGCAGGCTGTATACTACATCTTGTTTTGTTGCCAACATAGCGGATGTCAAAGAGAATTTTGAAATAAGAAGAACGCCTTTCCATCGTCGCTGCCGTGATGCATTTCCCAGCAAAACGACGCTCGCCGGTGGCTCGCAAAGGGGATTTGAAAACCTCGTGGATGCTTTTGATCTGTCGTGTCCAAGGTACGTCCAGCCTCGGACTAGTTTCTTGCGGGAAAATTGTGCGAGACGTTTTCTGGGCCGGTTTAACGAGCCGCGAGGAAAAATATTCCTCTCGATGGAGAGATTGGAAATGAAGGAAACACGCTTCGATTTCAGGATGGCTGCCCTCGAAAGGGACCTTAACGAGGAAAGATTTCATAAGACCAAGGAAGAATTGAAACGAAGGATTTCGTTCGATGACGCGTAAGAGAAATTCGCTGGTTTATCGAGCGTGAAGAGGAGTACGCTGTTCGTTAAGATCTGTTAAATGGTCGAGAAACGTGTTATCGGTGGAACGGATGAAGTTGAAAGGAAATGTTAAAAGATTATCACGTTGGAACGTACGGTTCGCGATAAGTTTAGCTTCCACAGATTTACTCGATTGCCTTCGATTTATTTACGTGCCGGCTTCTTTCGATAACCGAGCTGACTTTTATATTTTACTTTTTTATTAAATATTGTAACATCCTCTGCACGGACGACAATGACTCAAAATACGTCGTTTAAAAAATACCAACACGTTCGATACGGTTAATAATTTCGTACAGGAAGGACGATCGGAGATTTCATTTACGTCCAGCCTTTTGTCGTTGAAAATCGCGTTAACGAGCGAGCACAGGATGTGTTCAGAGTGTAACCGAAATATACAATATCACGGTAATTTATGTGTCGCCGTTAGAGTATCAATTTTCCGACTGTAAATAAGGGACACGTTCGTTTTATAATTTCCGCATTAATAATGGGATATGTAAATCGAATATGCTAACCTCGTTACGAGTTACGTTATTGCCGTACTGATATCGTTCGTTCAGCACGCATGACCCGTTAATTAACAGCACTGCCTTTGAATAATTCCCACAAGCTAATAAATGAAAAATATCGCTACACGTGTCTTTACATGGAATTTCGCGTTATCGTATGGAGAAAGCATCACGACGATTTCCTTGCAAACATCGACTCGACGATCCGTGTTCACAGGACATTTTACGAGGATTCGATCACATGTTCTGTTTCTGTTGACACGGGTTAGATCGTAAACATCGATTGTTTCGAACCCTTTCCACGTAATCGAAGTATCGACCACAAGGCTGCGCCCTTAAAAACAGATGCGATCAAATATCAAAGCGGAGAAGCGCTAAACTCTGGGATCAGTAAAGGAAACTAGGTTAATCCTTAAAAAAGCTTAACAAAAGCGTAAACAAAACTTCTCGTTACCCCGCTGCACCTGTACTTTCCACAGTGTTCTTATTTCTCCATACAAAGCTGCGTAGCAAGACAAAAATACGCGTCAACGTCTGATAGAGACGATCACATAAGTCCAGGGAGTATTTGGAATTTTATTGGAGTATAAACTGGTGCCCTAAGGTGACGAGTAAATAAGGAGGATTAGAGTATACCGTTAAAGCTAAGCCACCTATTTCTGAAGCACCCCATACAAGCGAAAAAGATTTCCAACCCTAGGCAGAAGTGTTGAAACGTAAAGTCTCGAAAGACGAGGGAGCTGTGCTTTCACGCAAAAGCACGCCGTCGTTATTTCTCTGTTCACGGCAAGTTAGGTACGCTATTGGAAGAAAGGCTAAGTGGTTGCGTTTAGTCATACGTGAAACCGGTGCCTTTAAAATCGTCAAACGGATTCCGCTAGTCGAAGTCGACTCAGTTGAATCGAATATTCTCGCACAGGCGCGAATATTGCGTTTGTTCGTCTCTAAAAGGATTCTACTTATAAAAAGACTGGAAAAAGACCGGCTAATATCGCGAATGAAATACTTTCAGACCATTCTGAGCCCGATATTTTTATCCAAAGCGATGTAGGTTAGGTTCGAAACTCAGGAAATCTGACTTTTATGTCGCGGAATTGTGTCAGACTCATCGTAGAGCAGAACGTTTCGAATACTATACATTTTACGGAATCAAATTGAAGAGTTTCGCTGGACGAAGCTCTCGCAGTATCGGCCAGATTTATGAGCTCTGTCGGGGCGGCATAGCGAAAGAGTGAAAACCATAAACGCGACGGACGGTGATTTATCCCGATCAATCAACGTTGCTAATCCCGGAGTCGTTTCAATTATTTTTCAATTCGTATTATTGATCCGTCGACGCGTTTAGACCGGTCTCCATATTGAATCATGGTATTACGTAACACGGTATTTATCGCGCGAGCGTATTTAACTGCGACTAAGATCGAAATTACTTCTTATTTCGATTAAACTTGCTTGGTCGACAGCTGACTAACCAATTCGAGTGGTAACCGTTTGCTAACAACGGTCCAACTGATTACTCGATCAATTCTGTCTGCTAACCGGATTTCGATTGCTAACCGTACTCCAATTCCGACGCTGGCGACCCAAAACTTTACTGACTCGACTCAACATTTCACCTTTTTACATATTTAAATTTGACAAATTGAAATTTCCTGAATTACTAAATTTTGAAATGTGGTCTGCACGGAATGGGAAACCTTCAAAAGCTTATTCCAGATTTACTTTTAAAAAAGACTCCAAGTATTTCCAGAAATTTTCTCCGCAAGGAATGTTCACAGCAATGCTCTCGCGTAAACTCGGCAAATAACAGCGTGGTCCTTTCAAACAATTAGCGTCACGGTTTCGCTAACGTCACCTGCACAACGGTAACAACGCAATCGTCTCTCTACTTTCGTCCTGTCAGTGTTAAAAGCACCAGCTTCCAGGTTACACCCGCTGAAACTTTAACCGGAGGAAGGGAAATTACAAACAATAGAGTCGATAAATTTCCACAGTAACCCTGCTCCTGCCTCTTATTTACGTTCGCACGCTGCGAGATCAGGATCCAGAAGCCAATAAACCTGATATACAAGAGACTCAGCAATTTTCGCCATTTCTGACCAGTCAGTGTAATAACTCTACGTTCTCACCCTCAAGTACTGCGGGAAGTTCCCGCCCTCTTGAAATGGACGTCTTACTGGGTCGAATGTTACGATTTCAAAATTTTATAGTGTTGAAATTTTTAAGAGTGGGATACTCAGACTGTTGAATCTCTAAGCCCTCAAATTTTGAAATTTAGATTCCTACATCCCTCAATAAAAAATTTCCCAATATCCAAAGAGTGAAAAGTTACTCGATCATACGCGGTAGGTCGCTGACATTGTCAACCAGCGTATCCACAAAAATTCGCTCAAAGCAGAAATCGTGAACTCGTCATCTTCCGCGATTCTCGGCAGCGTTACAGAAAAGAGGAGGAACGGAGTCTAGGAAACACGATAGAGGAAGGCTAGGAGGATGCATTTAAGCCGCACGACACAGGTCGCCGATGTTGCTTGGCAAACTTCCACCGGAAAATGAAATTCTCGGCTGCGGAGTTCGTCGATATCGAACGAACAGTTCTCTAATGGAAAGAGACGAAAACGAACAGTAAACTCTTTCTCGCTTTCCAATGTTCCCGTGACCATGTTCTTTGCTCTACGACGATAAAAAATGTTTATCCGCTTAAGCGCATCGTGACGCTTCGGCGTCGATGTTGATCACGGATCTGCATGATGTTTGCATAGATTTCTTGGCTATGGAAAAGACAGCTTATCTATCGTTTTCGTAA